AGGAACTGGTGGCCTTTGTGAATATTACACTACGTTCAAGTATAATTATTAAACGCCTTCATGTATCGAGTTCTCGTTTCCTACATAGGGATAAATATCTCACATATATAAGGTGATTTTCGTGTAATTTCCCATATAGTGAGTAAAAGGGTTTAGTTTATAAAAGCAACTGTGCAAATTACAAGCTTTTTAATGACATAGAGAAAAACCCAGGTCCTATCACCCACCATGTTGATGCTAGTAAAACAGTAAGTGCAGCATATAGTCAAGGGGATGTTGTTATATTTGGAGAAAATACCGGGCAACAATGTGTTGCAATGAGTTTAAGTGCTTTAATTTATCACCAAATGAAAGGGATAACCAACTCTGATCACTTAAAACAAATCATGTATATTTGGGATCAATTGTATAGCAGTTTGTCACAACTTTCACAACAATCGTTTTTACTGCTAACAGAATTACCAGCAATGCTTACAGTATTAGAGGAAAATTACCAGCTCGAATACAGCGAAAGTTACACTGGTGATGTTCATGGTGAGTCTACCATTGAAGGATATCAATATTGCATGGGCATGAAAAGAGCTTTGAATCATTTATTCTAACAGTTGGTTGTATTGAGTTTTGTTTAGAGTTCGGCCAATGTTATCTTGTGCTTTGAACAATTTCCAAAGGACCTACTATCCTGGAAAATGCATTTCTGTTGATGAGGGATGGTAGCTTTTAGAGGACGCTTGTCATTCCTGCATTATATTCCTGCAAAGCCAACTAAATATGGTATAAAGTGCTGGATGGCCGCCGATTCTGAAAACGCTTACGTTGTAAATTTCAGTGTTTACCTCGGCAGCGATACCTTAAAGTGCTTATCAAGTGAAGCCTCTTTTTTTAAGTTCTCTAATTAATCTTTTGCAATTCCTTAGTAATTTTGTGCAGTTTGAAAGGAATTTGACTACGGAAAAATATTTTTTTGCGCTTTGAAATCCAGCAATATGGCAAAAAATTGGCGAAAAGGAACTGGGTCGAGTGAATCAAGGGGTTGACAAATGCGACCAGGGCACAAGTAACATGTGCAAACACTTGAAAATACTAGCAAGTTGAGTTGTGCTGCTGTTTGGTTTGATTGGTAGGTTTTTATAGTCACGCTTTGGTTTAAAGTTAATATGCATGTAAGCATTCCTTTTTATAATTTGAAAATCAAGTTCGATTCATTCAATCATTCATCGTCACGTCAGCTGCACTCAAAGACGCAAAGATCACACCGAAGTTTTCTTGCCTTTCTTAGTTTAATAAAACTTTAAAGTTTAAAAACTTTCTGAATCACAATTTATTTTCACGCAAGATTAGTATTATTTTATTGTATGTTATCGTTTGTAACTTACAGTTTGATTGTAAATAATCGCGAGACAGTTTATAAGCTGTCAATTCAGTTTGTCGCACCATTCCATGCTATGCATACAGCTGTAAAATATAAACTTACTCGAGTGTCTTGTTTTCAATTGACATTGTAGGTGCAAATGTGGACATTGCAATGTGGAAAATATACTCGTTTCGCGAGAATTTCGATGCTGACACAAGTAAGGCCAGCAATTGGTCTCATGTTTTTTGACGCGTCGATCGCACCTCATTCCTGTATCACGCAACATGAATACTTTGCCCCCTTGTGAGCAGGACTGTACTGAAACAGGCTGGCCCTTCATTTCGAGACAAAAATGGCAGAATGTAAAGGAAATCAATCAGAAAACGAGTAAGACAAAAAGTTTATAATTATAACTTTTTTATTCTTGTGCATGACATATCATAGGGAATTTCTTTTCATATAAAAGTCAGTGACAAATAAACTGCAATGTGCTGTGTTTACATTAATCCAATACACTAAAAATTGTTTTACTTCAGGAGTTTAAAAAATATATTCCACCATGGCCAGGTTTCTTACAATTCCATATGAATCAATATGTTTATTTCACATTTCAGATACCTCAGAGCAGTGGCGTACAGGTGGCTGATACGATGGTTGTGTGGCTACCTTGGATGGGACAACAGCAGACCATTGTCAGCGTGTTTATATCATTATATTAGAACAACATTTCCAAGCACCAACCGCCATGGATATGCAGGATCACGAGAAAGGAGTGACTAGGTATGGTTGGCGGAATGTTGCAAAATTCAATGACACATATCTATATTCAACAACTTATGTTTACATTCAACTAAATATTCTTGGTCAACTTCAACCTTCGCTATTTACATTTAACACTTATATTTATTCAACTTCAAGGACATATTTGTATTCAGTGTTTCCTTCTTTTTGCATTCAACTTCATCGCCGTTTATTTGCATTTAACAGTAAATGATATCCAACTTCAACCTTCGTTATTATATTCAACACCTAAAAAATGTATATAAGAGCTTTTCCGTATCCCTTGAATTTCATGTGTGAATTTCAAGGGGTGAAATGCTTCACGCAAATTAGCTGTCTGATATATAATTATGAAGTCCTTTTGTCTTCAGTTTTTAACATAAATATATAAATATAGCGGACAAGAATGGGAGGGAAAAATTCGTCAAAGAGGCAAGGCTACTCAAAAGTTTCAATGATAAGAACATTGTCAAGTTTGAAGGCTTTTGCA